ACTGACCAGGGAGGTGGCTGTCTTCTCAGAGCATGAAAAGAATGTATGCGGGCCTCTCACTGCTGTGGCCTCTCCCGTTGCGGAGCACAGACTCCGGACGCGCAGGCTCAGCGGCCATGGCTCATGGGCCCAGCCGCTCCGCGGCATGTGGGATCTTCCCAGACCGGGGCACGAACCCGCGTCCCCTGCATCGGCAGGCGGACTCTCAACCACTGCGCCACCAGGGAAGCCCAAGATAGCTTATTCTTGGTCAAATGTTGTCTATGGCTGATTATTCAGGTGGGTACTGGCCAATGTGTAAACCTCCTGGTCTAGGGAAGTTTTACTGAGCTATGTCTGGGGTTTCCTTTAGCACATTGGGATCCCAGCTTAGTTTGTTCCATTTAAGTATTGGATACTTAATACTTTTAAAGCAGCTACTCTGTGCCCACCCCCGCCAGATGATGTGGGATGTGAAAGAAATACTGGGTACAATCCCTGCCCTAGAGGAACATATCAACTTGATGAAGAGACAAGACTCATACAAATGAAACAAACTTAGGGAAAAATAAAAGACCGGTTTTGGAACGTACTCGAGTTTTAGGACCCAGGAGGGATGTGTGCTGTGCTGTCAGCAGCCAGTGGCTGCAGCTCCTGGTGAAAGCTGTGTCCCTGGGGTCTGGATGCCTTGAGGAGAAGCCCCAGGGGAATTTGCTGAGCCACTGCGTTTGTGGGTGTATCCCCGTCACAGCACTTGGATTCAGTCTCATGACTGTGGCTGCTTGGAGACGCCCCATCGAGGACCTCGTGCTGTGGGGGACTGTCCGCTGGCTGCCTGTCTCGGGAGAAGTCAAACAACTCGTTAGGCTCGTCCCTGCCTGCAAAGTGGGGTAGCGTCATATCCATCCTTCTGACCTCAGATGGTTGTACAACAGGAGGGATGGAGCGTGGAGGCCCTTGGGTAGAGCACTGTGTGGTTTATCACTGGCTGCAAAATCTATTTAGGCAAAAAGAAGTTGGAATTAATACTCTTCACGCTCTGACACTGCAGTGCTGCCTGCTCTTGGGAATTCCTCTTTGTCCCAGTGTTCTCTCTCTCTCTGGGCTCCCCTGGTCTCTCCAGTCTGCTTTCCCCCCCTGCTCCTTTCGTCACTCCCTGCTTGTTCCCAGACACTTCCTCTGATCCCCTGGCTTCTGCAGTGATGGAGATGCAGAGCATTTCTCCCAAGTCTCGATCTCCCGCCCTGTCCTCACTCCTAAGCCCAGATCCTGATCGCTTTCTGCACGTCCTGCAGGCCTGCAGGTCGGCCTTGGCTTCCTCCGAGCCGTCCCAGGGAAAGGCATCGCCCTCACACGGTCAGCACTGACTCCTCTCCTTCCACCTCTGTGCTGCCTGTCACCAGTCACCAGGGCAGCCACGTCTGAGAGTCTGTGATGCTGCTGGAACCCATCCTCTCGCAGCTATTCCGCCCTCTTGTTCTCGAGCCCACACCCTCCTTCACTCTCACCCCAACCAGTATTTCGAAACGTTTAGAATTAAACCTGTACTTATTTATCAATAGAATTCCACCTTTCCTATGCCCCAAAGAAATCTTCCTTGTAACTCTAACAAATGAGGTTTAAACAGAGCGGCTTCCTTCTCTCTCTGCCCGGGCAGCCCTGCCCATCTCCTGCCCCACTCCTCCCCAGCAGTGGTCCCGAGGCCCCCTGACACTAGGAACTCAAAGAACATGGCAGGAAAGCCACACCTACCCTCTTGTGACAGTTGATTGTGACAGCCTCCTAAGCTATCTCTCTGTTCCTTCTCCATCCAGGGTTGTTTCTATAAAACCCAGACCTGACAAGACTCAAAACCACCTTGATAACTGGTCACCATTCACAGAACAAAGGCTGAACTCCAGCAGATCCTCAGTCTGACCCCAAATCACCTTTTCTTCCCTCCCTCTGGGCCTGTGTGGTTGGGCCTGCGTGAACACTTGGAATTCCCCAGCCCTGCGGGCACCTTAAGCCTCCATACACTGCTGGTGCTGTTCCCTCTGCCAGGAACACCTTTCCCCATGCTTCTCTTCCTGAGGAAAGACTGTACTCCTTAGGTCTGGGTTTGATGTCGTCGCTGCCACGAAACCTTTCTCGAACTTCCTTCTCATCAAACATAACGTGGCACGCCTTCCCTGTTCCTACACTTTCCTGTTTGCACTTAAAAAGAAAAAATACTTACCTCCTTGCATTATAGTCATGCCAAGAGCAAGGGCAATGTGCTCTTTATTTTTGAGTCCGCAGAGCACCCAGCCCGGCACCAGTATACACTTGTTGAATAAACAGACATCTGAATGAATGAGTTTGACATGCTCGTTAAAGCCCAAGGCATCATTCGCCTCCTCTTTCACTGGCTTATCATTCTTAAGAGGAGCGGGTCTCTCTGTACGTCAGCCTTTGCGGGGCCAGGCAGCTAAGGGAAAACCCAGCAGTTCTGAGAACACGGTGGCTGAGCTGTGTCTGGTTCCCTGTAAGTCACTCTTTCTCCATAATTCTGATCACTGCCCAGTCTCAGACACTCCACTTCTGAACCTCAGCTAGAGGGATTTCAAGAGCGCTTTCCAGAGTACATTTAGGTAGCTGGCCTCCTGCCGGCCTTGGTTCCAAGATCCCATCCCCTCTTTTCCCCAGTTTTCACAAGTGGGCCGTGGTTGGCTCTCTCAAGCCTGACCTGTACCCCATCACTCAAGCGCTGGAGCCCTTCCCTTGATGGGAGGGTTCCTGTGCTGAGCCCCAGTTTCGTGACCAGGACTTTGCTTTCCGTGGCAAGATCTCCTTAGTGCCAACTTCTGAGCGTTTCATGTTTGTTTAAACCTTAACATTTACCTTCAGTCCAGCTGTCAGTTACTCTCATCCCTCCTTCCCAGGTGCTGTCTGCTTATCTGGTATCCACTGTCTGTCCTCATTTGCTGTTCACTCATGTCACACCTGCAGATGTGTTTGCCACCCTTTGGCCGTGGGGCATCCTAGCTCTGCCTCAGACAAGGGCATCACTCACCACACAGGTGAAAAACCAGAGAGCTTCTGCCCTCCCCTGCTCCCAGATAATGCACTTTTCTGCAGCTGCACGCTGTCATTCTGATCTTGATACCGATCCTGTCTCACCCGAGTTACCTCAGCTGCATCTTAATGAATCCCCCAAGTCCACTCTTCACCTCTCTGTAACATTCTCCACACTTTAGCCAGAAAGATCTTTCAAGATGTAATACTGTTCACGTCACATCACAGTCCTGCTTAAAACCCTTCCTCATCTTACCTCATTCTTAGGAATAAAGACCACATTTCTGAAGAATGTTAGAAAACACGGCCTACAAAGCCAGGGCTATCTGGCCCCAACGGCCTCCTCAGCTTCTTTTTCACTCACTAGCCAACATCCCCCTTCTTCTCATGCATACATCCTGCTTCCTCCCACCCCAGGGCCTTTGAACATGCCATTTCCTTTGTTTGGAACTCTGTTCTTGTCTTTCAGCTTAAAGCTCAAGCACCCCTTTTCCACAATGCCTACCTGTTGCTACCCTCGCTAGCTCTCACAGCTCCCTGAACTCCTCCTTTATAGAACTTATCACAGTTTTTAATTATATAGTCACGTGATCATTCGTTACTGTGTTTCCCTCTAGTGAGGTCCAAGGACAGGGACCATGTCCATGTTGCTCACAATTTTATTGAGCCCTGTGATTAACATGGGGTCAGTGCCTCATACATATTATTAGATGACGGGAATAACACCTGCATGATCCTACCTGACCAGTCCCACGGAAGTTTACCAGGGCTGTGTATAAGCATGTCCTAGGGATGATGCTCTGCCACTCAGCTCCTCATAAGCCCGAGCACGGATACTGCCTCACAGAGGGTAAACCATGAAACAAATATACAACATGGGGCTCCTGAAATCCTTATGCAACATCCCATATTGTTTATTGAAAGTATTTGGATGTGCATATTTATTACTTAGTTTTCTTGTTGTAGGGAATTTGACAGATACTCCATACCATTGCACTCTACATTTATTGCATTTCTTTGAATTCAGAGCCACTAAAAAGTTCATCTCTTCATGTTAATTGTTTTCTTCTTTTAATCATGAGAATTCTATTCCCCATTGGATTTCTTTTTTTCTTTTTTTTTTTCTTAGCTGCTGGGGAACTCTGTGCTAAATTTCACGCTTAACATAGTAAAATTACCTCTGCCCAGGTATCCTGTTGTATCTGTCTTCTGTTGTTTTTAGTATTTATTTATTTATTTTTGGCTGCTTTGGGTCTTCACTGCTGCACGTGGGCTTTCTCTAGTTGCGGCGAGCGGGTGCTACTCTTCATTGTGGTACATGGGCTTCTCACTGCGGTGGCTTCTCTTGTTGCGGAGCATGAGCTCTAGGCGCGTAGGCTTCAGTAGTTGTGGCATGCAGGCTCTAGAGCGCAGGCTGAGTAGTTGTGGCGCACAGGCTTAGTTGCTCCACGGCATGTGGGATCTTCCTGGACCAGGGCTCGAACCTGTGTCCCCTGCATTGGCAGATGGATTCTTAACCACTACACCACCAGGGAAGTCCTTCTGTTTTTTTTTTTTTTTTTTTTTTTTTTTTTTTTTTTTTTTGCGGTACGCGGGCCTCTCACTGTTGTGGCCTCTCCCGTTGCGGAGCACAGGCTCCGGACGCACAGGCTCAGCGGCCATGGCTCACGGGCCCAGCCACTCCGCGGCATGTGGGATCTTCCTGGACCGGGGCACGAACCCATGTCCCCTGCATCGGCAGGCGGACTCTCAACCACTGCGCCACCAGGGAAGCCCCCTCTGTTGTTTTTAAAGTGATTTCTTTGTTGTTCTATTGTGTTATACTTAATTATTAAAGACAATTCAGATTCTTTTGTTAGGAATATATATATTTATATGTTATATTATATACATTTTTATTTATATTATATATTAGCTACATATGATATATATATCATATGTAATATATATTACAAAGCCCTTATACCCCCTCTTTTATCCCATAGTGATAACAATCCATATTCTTACTTTGGAGCCACGCTGGCGAGGGATGATGAAAAGAATCTGTGGAGTGTGCCTCACGATGTGTCCCACACAGAGGCAGACGACGACAGGATTCTCTACAATTTGATCGTTGTTCGTAATCAACAGGCCAAAGATTCAGAGGTAAGCACCTTTTGAGATCTTGCTGTGTGCAGGTGATAAAGTCCAGTGAAAAACAGCAGTAACGGAGAAGACCAGCTTAGAATAGAGAAGAGAATGAAGGATGAGATGTGTGAAACGTAGGGCAGGTCTTTTAGCAGCATCTAGTTGCTAATTTTAGCTGGTCTTGGTACACCTGTTTAATACACAGATAAGACTGATTTCTAATTGTTACTTTAATGATACAAATTACAGCAGTAGGGAAACAGCAAGGCAGTGCTGTTCAGATTGTGAAAATACTTTATGGTCTTAAATGGCTTAACCAGTCCATCTCTAATCTTTCCAACTGTTTAGCAAGCCACCATTAAAGATTCAGACTGAAGGTTGACAGGTACTTTGCATCATCACTACTTCTGAATTAATGGGGCCTGAATTGTTGTTTGTTTTTTTTTTCTGTTTGTATCTTCTTAAATTGTGCTTATGGATCAAACAGCGTATCTGCCATATTTGAGGTGATTTTTGTGATAAGGCTTGAAACCACTCTTAATGGACTTTTAATCAAAGTCATTGATATGAGAACACCAGAATATTGAAAAGGAGACAACTTCATAAGTGAAGAGAAAACAGCAAAAGGGATGATATTTTATTTTCTCCTTTATTTCAAAAGTAGTATTATAGTACTATACATAATGCAATATAATATTATGTGTATCATTTTCCAAGTAATAAAACCTAAGTTTTCTAACTTCTGTGTTCATCTGTTAGTTCTGAGTAGATGCCTATATTAGATATGACTTTATGTTTTCCTTTGTATCATATAGTAGTTGAGAAGAACAGAGACATTTAAAATCTCAGGCTTAGGCTATGAAGAAAAGCACCAGAGTGTGTATGTATGGGAGCAGGGTTATTGCAGTGGGGGGGGGGGTGCCTGTTCCTTATCTAGGTTTATTTCTGTTAATTAATTGTTAATTGTTTTTCCCCCGAAAACATGCGTTAGCAGGAGATGATAACTTTAGAAGAGTCATGTGTCCCGGTCCTTTTATTCTGGTGTGACTTGGGATGCCTTTGGGGGGTGGAGGTGGGCTGAGAAGTGGGGAATGACAGTTGCCTCTGATTCTTGAGGCCTGGGGGAAGAGTAGGCTGGAGAGTCCCGCAGTGGCTCTGATGAGCATCCTTTCTTGGGTGTGGAGTGCTGGTAGGGACAACTCCTGCTAGATATCCATCACAGCGCTTAACTCAGAGGCATAGCATATTAGTGGCCATGCGCTGCACTACCCCTGGCTTCCCCCCTGCTATCCCCTCCTCCACTGGTAACATTTAAAGGACATCATAAAGGCTGCTCAGGCCATGAATAGCCCTCCTGGCTGCCCTTCCTGAGCATATGGACAGGAATTCTTGCATGACCTTGTTTTCCCTTTAATGGGAAGTGCTAATCCTTACCCTGCTGTATTGGGCTGACCAGTTATGGTTTCTGCTGGTGAGAATGCAACTAGTTCTTGTCTTTTCTTCCTTTTCTTTCTCCACTCTGTGCAAAGCTGTGACAGCAGTAGGGAAGTGAGATATATATATATATATATATATATATATATAT